AGGCTTAAGTCGATGGGGTCGCTTGTGTTTAGGAAAGAAAGGTCGAGATGCTTGAGGTTGATGAGCTTTGAGATAGGCTCTAAGATTTTTCCTTCAAAATGGTTAACCCCAAGGTACATGAACTCGAGCCTAGATGAGGTAGACGAGTTAGGAACTTCAATAGAACCGTGAAAATAGTTTTCACGTATGTTAAGAAATGATAAGAAAGGCATAGTGATGAGGGAAGAAGGAATGGTTCCAGAGAATTGATTGTCATAAATTTCTAGAGCAGAGATAGTTAGATTTTGTACAAGTGGGAAACTACCACTGAGCTTGTTTTTATCAAGGGACAACTCGATTAACCGGGTTAGGTTACTAATTGTGGACGGAACTTGACCAACGAAGCCATTAGAGGAGAGAGAAAGGAACTCTAGTTTGTTGAGATTGCCAAATTCGGAAGGGAGTGAGGAAGTGAAGTTGTTGTAACTGAGTCTAAGGTAACGGAGGTGGTGCAACCCAAAGAGGCTATTGTTGGGATTCAAAGTTCCAAAGAAGTGATTATGAGAAAGATCTAAATAGGAGAGGTTGGTTAGATTTCGTACAAGAGGGAAACTACCGGTGAGCTTGTTATTGGAAAGGTCTAAAAGGGAAAGCAAGCCTAAGCTATTAAATGAGGAAGGAACTTGGCCGAGGAAGCCATTAGAGGTAAGATACAAGACCTCTAACTTGTTGAGATTTCCAAATTCGGAAGGAAGTGGAGAGGACATGAAGTTGTTTTGATAGAGATCAATGTAACGAAGATGATGCAACCTAAAGAGGCTACTGTTGGACTTCAGAGTTCCACTGAGGCAGGTCCGGAGTTGTATCTTCGTAATCGCACCCGTCGAGTTATCGCACCAGACTCCATTATTGAAAGAGTCACTGTGGTTGCAACCGCGGGTATCAAACTCGTTCTTGAACTCCGTAAAGACTTGAATCTGGTGAGGACGACAAGCAACAAGACCAACAACAGGACTTTTAAAAGGGAAGGGTATAGTGCTTGAAGGGGAGACACAACAGAGAAAAAACAGCAAGAGAAAATGCAAACGCATAGAGAATTCCGACATGATGGTCGTCATGAAAACTTTATAAGAAGAATGATTTTTTTGGTTTAAGAAAAGTGAGTGAGAAGATTGGTATATATAAAGGGGAATACGTGCTTTTGCATGGGAGCACAATTGGACTAATTAAGAGCCATGCAAGTCATGAAGTGAAATCCACGTTAGTTAATTTTTTTCTAGCTTATAAATTGGATTGAAATCACATGAGTTTGAAATTTCTCGCATACGTACGTACATACTGTATGTTCAAAACTACAGATATCAACTTGAGCATAAAACGACAAACACATTAGTCTGGGTTGGACAAGTAAGTTTGTAGCCTTACAAAGATAACGTGACAAAGGGATTACAGTACGTTATGGTTTAGCTAACAGAAGTTGGAAAGGGAGATATCACGAGAGTTCTGCTTCTGTGTTTCGAGAACACCGGAGCTAGCTTTTTTGTGTTTTTTGTTGAACTAGGCTTAGTCGATTTTTGTGGGCTTACTACTATGGGCCAAAAACGCACGATATTGTTTAGATTTTATAG